CTTTAGAAATTGATACATGCTAACATGTTTGTTGGGTCACAGCTGACAAGTGAACAAAAGTAGCTTACATATCGAAGTGCAGTAACAGAGTACATAAAATGTTGATATAAAACAAACACTGAAAAATTCATTATATAAGGCAAAAATGAAGATGAATTGGAAATGGTTCCCTTTTCGGTCGGGTGCCAACATAATTGAACCTAACTCTAAAACCCTAAAAAGGGGGGAAAAGGGAGTCGTACTATAAATTAATCTAATCTACAGACAATGGGACTTGAACTTTGTTGCAAAATGTAGACTCACTATCATAGTCAATTGACCTAACTCATGTCTACACGAGTTTTAAAAATAATAAAAAATGATGATAATTAATTTTGACTTTCTTTGTTAAATTTCAGTGAATTTGAATATTGAGAAGATGATGCTGAAAACAAAGAAAATGAAAAGTAATGTCGTTGGACTCGAAAGAAACGGAGGGCATCAAGGCAAGGGCTCATGAGGCTTGACCATACCCACATGTAAACCTGCCCTAACTTTTGGCCGAATTAAAGGGCCATGCCCACACCCATTACACCTTGCCTCGCCCATCAACGACAGCCCATGTGGGCCCAAACCTCACATGGGATGCACCCACCAGCCTAGCATCCAATGATTATAATGATTCTATCCCACAAAGATAATTTAAATTAATAAAGATGATTGTGTAAAAACATTTATAATTTAAATTACATTACCATTACTCCAAGACACTAAATAAATAAATAAAAACTTTAGAAATTGATATATGCTAACATGTTTGTTGGGTCACAGCTGACAAGTGAACAAAAGTAGCTTACATATCAAAGTGCAGTAACAGAGTACATAAAATGTTGATATAAAACAAACACTGAAAAATTCATTATATAAGGCAAAAATGAAGATGAATTGGAAATGGTTCCCTTTTCGGTCGGGTGCCAACATAATTGAACCTAACTCTAAAACCCTAAAGAGGGGGGAAAAGGGACTCGTACTATAAATTAATCTAATCTACAGACAATGGGACTTGAACTTTGTTGCAAAATGTAGACTCACTATCATAGTCAATTGACCTAACTCATGTCTACACGAGTTTTAAAAATAATAAAAAATGATGATAATTAATTTTGACTTTCTTTGTTAAATTTCAGTGAATTTGAATATTGAGAAGATGATGCTGAAAACAAAGAAAATGAAAAGTAATGTCGTTGGACTCGAAAGAAACGGAGGGCATCAAGGCAAGGGCTCATGAGGCTTGACCATACCCACATGTAAACCTGCCCTAACTTTTGGCCGAATTAAAGGGCCATGCCCACACCCATTACACCTTGCCTCGCCCATCAACGACAGCCCATGTGGGCCCAAACCTCACATGGGATGCACCCACCAGCCCCTCTGGATCTCTCTTTCCGCGGAATCGATTCGTTCATCTCGGTCGTTGGATTTAAAAATCAAAAGTCTTCAATATGGGCGGCTAAGCTCTGTCCCAAGCTTGTCCCAATATACAGGGGCAACCGCCTCAAATGTGCTGCTCATGTCACAAACACCATATCTGCCCATGTCTAAATTCATGGTGCCTAAGCTTCATCTTGCACGCTATCTTATGGCGGGTGATATCTACTTTCCCATTTGTTCAATTAAATCATGTTTACCATATGTTTGTGAAGAGTTACATATTCACGTGCGTATAAAATGGTTGTGCAACTTATTACCATTATGATGAAAATATTATTTCGTCAAACAATTTAGGTAAAGTGGAATGCACGCGCAAACGAGAGAAGGTGGGGGTGTACTTAGTTTTGTTAGTTTCCGTAGACAAATGTCGTTTGCCTTTATGACTTTATCTCTACTTGTATCTATATAATACCATTGAACTTCATTTGGCATATCACACAATATTTTTCTACATCTCCCTCTCTTTAGCCTTCATCAACGCAATAGAGAAGAATTCAGCGTGGGGTTTGGTTGGTTATTGTCAAAGCTTGTGAAGAAGAACAAATCCAGAAATCCATATTTGTCAGGATTGGCTGCAGAAAACAGAGAGAAAAAAGGTATGGCAATGTTTGAGCAGGATCTCAACCTTGAAGCCACAGAGCTTAGATTAGGCCTCCCAGGCACCAAGGAGCCTGAGCATAACACATGTTCTAGTGCTTTAATCAGCAGGAGCAACAAAAGACCATTGCCAGCTGACATGAACGAAGACAAGGATTCTTCAGCTGCCAAAAGATGTGACCAACAAATTTCTCAGCCTCCTCCCACCAAGTAAGCAACTGCCACATACAAATAGATTCTAATTATGATTAAGTTGTGTAATTAATTATGTTCTTCTTCCAGAGCATAGTTGATGATAGATTTTTGAGGTTAACTAATATGGCATGTGGTATTATATTGCAGGGCGCAAGTAGTGGGGTGGCCACCAGTGCGATCGTACCGGAAAAATTGCTTGCAAGCAAAGAAAACAGAGGCGGAGGGTTGTGGGATTTATGTGAAAATAAGCATGGATGGAGCTCCATATCTTAGAAAGATGGATCTGAAGGTGTACAGAGGATATCCAGAGCTGCTTAAAGCCCTGGAAGACATGTTCAAGTTCAAAGTTGGTGATTATTGTGAGAAGGAATTGGGGTACAATAACAGATCAGAATTTGTGCCTACATATGAAGACAAAGATGGGGATTGGATGCTGCTTGGAGATGTTCCATGGGAGTAAGTTCTCTGCTCATCTCTTTCCTTAATCAATTCTCTTATTTATTCTAGCTACTTTCTTTAGAAACTCAAATCTGATCATGTGGTGTTGTTTGTTTCTGTTCAGAATGTTCATCACTTCGTGCAAGAGGTTGAGAATCATGAAGGGTTCAGAAGCTAAAGGCTTAGGCTGCGCGCTGTGATTGATCAACAACTAAACAAATAGAAGAAGAGACTTAAATCAATATATATTCTGTCATGACATGAAGACCATCAAGGACACATTCAGCTGTTTGCTTGGGCTTTCGCTGAATGAAACAGAAACTTAGTTGAGTTGTTTGTAATGATAGAAAGTTTTTACAAGGAAGGAGTTTTCGAAAGAAGAAGGAAACATTTTCATGTATAGTTTGCCATGTTCTCTTCAAAGAAGAGTTGTACAAAGAAAAGAAAAGATAAACGAAAACAAACAAAAAAGTTTGAGTATTGCATCAATGAGAAAAATGTTCTGCATGCCTTTGAGCAATTTTGTTCATTAACTTTTTTGGTCGAAATCAGTAATATCATAAAAGCCTTGAGGAGGCTTCCTCTGAAATGGGATTTCTGCATTGTAGTCTATTATTCGCTTCGATTTCGTCTTTCGCTGCTGCAAAACATCAATGCCAGCAGCCTTTAATTCTCTGGTTTTCTGAAGGGAAGCAAACCTTGTGGCCTCTTGGAGCTGCTTCTCCCTGGCTTTCCTTTTGGCCTTCTTGCCCTTCCTAGTGCTTGCTAACCCAGCTGGTGCCTGGAAAATCGTCTCCATCTCCCACTCATCCATATCAACAGGAACGGGGAGAGCAGGCTTTGACTCAGGATTGAGATCGAAATCTCCAGCCATGAGCTTTGCAAATTCTGTGCTCCACTTGGCCATGAGCTTAACAAGAAAAATCCTTCTTACTCTTCCTCACTGTCAAACAAACAAGTCTCAGCAATCTATATATGTACACATTTCACAACTTTTCCTTTTCCAATTTGCAGAAGAAACTAGGGTCAGCCGGCCCGAACCAGATCCCAAATATTTGTGCTTCATAAGTTTATATTACAAACCAGTTCAAACAATTTGATTTTGGAAAAAGAAAAAGCTTGCCCCCTCCCTTCAATCAAACAATATGCGTATCACATTAGAATTGACTGACAATTACACACCTCATATAATATAGATAGCTGCGAATAAGTTGAACGCATATTGAATTTCCTTTTCATGTTCCGAATAGTTATTCTACCATTAAAATACTTTTCCATAATTTGATTTAGAGCATCAAGTTAATTTTTATATATAAATAAATTGGGCTTATTACACAACAACTTATTTATACAGTATTTATTTCAAACTACTTAGAATGACATAATTTTTGGAACATAACAAAAAAGTTCGGATCCTCTAATTTTCTTCGCATTGACTTTATACTTACGCCTAAAACTACGTTGTTTTCGAATGCTAAATTTTAAACCCAAAATGCTTAATCTTTAAACTTTAAAAGTAAATTGGCTTTGTACGTATATAATTACAAGATTAACAAAAGAAAAATAGTTGAAGACATGGGAAAAATATGTATTAAAACTTTTTATATGGCATTTCAAATATGACATTGATGTTGTTGCCCATGACAATACTAAAGGTTCGTTTGGGAGTGCTTCTGGAAGGGTTAAAAGTGCTTTCTGATAACAAAAAGCGTTTCTGACAACCAAAAACGCTTCTGACAACATTTGGCAGAAAATTTTAGAAGTGCTTCTGGGTCATAGAAGCGCTTTATGGAGAAACACCTGTCATATGCTTATTCAGTAAGCACTCCCAAGTGCTTTTCCAAGATGTACTTCGATTTTTTTATAAAATTTTCAACAACTTTATAATAAAAACACTTTTATTAGAAGCACTTATAAGCATAAATGCTTCCTAAATAAGCAGTCCCAAACGAGCCCTAAGTAACATAACAATCTAGTCTAAAGATGATTAAGATTTCCTCCAAATATGAAAGTTTGTTCTACTAATATTTTCTCACTCAACTCTTGCCACGTTGCAAGAAAGAGCAAAACAACGCGACAAATTGTTTTTCTCCAAATATGAAAGTAGGTTTAAAGATGAATTAACTAGCATGTTTAGAGAGACAAACGAAGGAACGCAGACACACACTAAACCATTAAAAAGGAAAAGAAAAGAAAAGCATCTTTTACTTATTCATCCTTCATTGCCACGAGACAGATATTCGTATTAATTAATACTCGGTGAACCAATCAGTGCAAAGCAAAATCAATCACCAATGTCTTTTCACCTCCTCTCTTTTTCTCTCTCTCTAGAAACTCAGTTTTTAAAGTAAAAAGCTTTCGAAAATCAGAATTCATAAGCGTGACGAACACAACCCACACATATTATGGAGAGAGAGCTGAAAGAGCATCGGAGATTCCTTCTCTCTCTCTCTCACTGAAACCCTAATCTCCATATGCGCGTGATCAATTACAGTAGAAAGGGATCTTTTAACCCTAATCTTATTTCTTAATTCTGAAGCAAAAGAATGGCGTCAGAGCTAGGGCAACAGACGGTGGAGTTCTCGACCCTGGTGAACCGTACCGCCGAGGAATCTTTCCTCTCGCTGAAGGAGCTCGTCGAGAAATCGAAGGCGGCACCGGACCAGTCCGATACCGATAAAAAGATTGGACTGCTCAAGTACTTGGCCAAGACCCAGCAACGCATGCTCCGACTCAATGTCCTCGCCAAGTGGTGTCAACAGGTCTCGTCATTTTACTCGCTCACTCACCCATCTATTATGGGGTTTTTATTTGGTGTCCAATTGGGAGTGGAAATTATACATTTTGGGCCCTCTTTTATGAATTCTGCGTTAAATAATGTTACTTTGGGGTTGTTTTTGTTTGGACAATATGAATTCGGTTTTTTCAAGGGCTCCTAGTCTCTTTCTCTTAGAAACTTGTAATGTAAGTTAAAGTTTTTTTTCTTTTGGGGTTAGGAAATAGATTTCGGTTTCGTTCAATACAATTCAAGCTTAAAAAAATGTAGGATTATGCTGATTTTTTTGTTTGTTTTTGTTTTCTATTTGGAGGTTTTTAAGGTTTTGGTGTTTCTTTTTCTCCTTGAGGGTTCAGGGTTTTGATTTGGTGGTCAAATTGGGGGCGGAAATTATACATCTTATTTTTCAATTTGTGGTGGAAAATAATGTCAATTTAGGGGCTTTCGGCTAGGAAAGTATAGATTTACCACTACCTTAAAATGTATATAGCTATTGGTGCTCAAGCTGGAGGGTTTATGGGGGTTGATTAGTCGCGCAATAGGTATTGCATAATGCGTTTATGTCTCATTACTATTTGGGTTTGACTAATGGGAATTTAGGGTTTTTGTTTTGGTAGGAAAGGAAAAATTGGATTTGGGTGTTATTTGTTGTTTTCTCCATTGTGGGATGTGCAAGATGATTTGACAGTGCATGTTTGTTTGTCTTTAGATGGTTAACAACAAAAAAAAAAAAAAACTAGATAGTTTATTAGCTTGTGAAAAAGAACTAGTAATTTTACCCTAGGTATAGAGTAGTTTCTGAATTTTGAAGTCAAAATCAATGCCATGGATGTGCTCATTGGTTGGTCCAAGAACCATACCTTGTGCTGATATGGAGAGTTTAGTGTCTCTGATGCTTCATGTTCCTTGAAATGCAGTTGAATTCCTGTTAGCACATTTCATTTTGGAATCAATAAATTTATATATATATATATATATGTATGTATATATTTACTTGTTATCCATGCCTTTCTATTTGCAGGTCCCGTTAATACAATACTGCCAGCAACTCTCCTCCACTCTTTCAAGTCATGATACCTGTTTCACTCAAGCTGCAGATTCATTGTTTTTCATGCATGAAGGGCTGCAGCAAGCTTGTGCTCCTGTTTATGATGTTCCATCTGCAATTGATATCCTCCTAACAGGGTCATATCAGCGTCTGCCAAAATGTGTAGAAGATGTGGGCGTTCAGAGTTCACTAAGCGAGGATAAGCAAAAGCCGGCTTTGAAAAAGCTGGACACACTTGTGCGATCTAAATTACTTGAAGTGTCACTCCCAAAAGAAATTTCTGAGGTTAAAGTCTCTGATGGTACAGCAGTGCTTCGTGTCAATGGGGAATTCAAGGTTTTAGTGACACTAGGCTACCGAGGGCACCTATCAATGTGGAGAATATTGCATCTAGAACTGCTTGTTGGTGAGAGATGTGGACTTGTAAAAATTGAAGAATCACGCCGGCATGCTCTTGGGGATGATTTAGAGCGAAGAATGGCTGCTGCAGAAAATCCGTTCATGACATTATACTCAGTTCTACATGAGCTTTGTGTTGCACTCGTAATGGACACTGTCATAAGGCAAGTACAGGCTCTTCGGCAAGGGAGATGGAAAGATGCAATTCGGTTTGAGCTCATATCTGATGGGAGTACAAGTCATGGAGGAAGTTCTGCCTCTGCGCAATTAAATCAAGATGGAGAAAATGATTCATCTGGTCTACGAACGCCAGGGTTAAAAATTCTATACTGGTTAGATTTTGATAAAAACAATGGTATTTCTGATTCAGCATCATGCCCGTCTATAAAAATTGAACCAGGACCAGATCTGCAGATAAAGTGTCTTCATAGCACATTTGTCATAGATCCATTAACTGGAAAGGAGGCAGAAATATCTCTTGACCAAAACTGTATTGATGTTGAGAAGTTGCTTCTGAGAGCCATATGCTGTAATAGATATACTCGTCTGCTTGAAATTCAAAAAGATCTGGGGAAGAATGCTCAAATCTACCGAGGTAAAGGGGATGTTTCTCTTGAGTCCCATGTGGAAGATGTGGATGTTGACCATAAAAAGGTTGTTTCACTTTTTCTTGTTACTTGTTTCTGGTTCTTTTTTTTTCTTGTTAAATTTCTATGTTTTTCATGCATGTGTATTTTTTGGGGTTCATTTTCTTCATATTTTGATTCCATGAATTTCTGTGTGCAGAAAGATGACAAGTCCAATGTCAGAGAATATGAAGGGCAGGAAGTATTACGTGTGCGTGCCTATGGCTCATCATTTTTTACCCTGGGCATAAATATAAGGTATCCTTATTTGCTTATATTGTTATCGGTACATTATTACAGGATAATATGAATTATGACTTGCCAAGGGACTTAGATGAACAGAGAAAACTGTTCTTACAGCCAATATTGCTTCTGGCTAGACATTGGAACACGTTCTTGATGTACTTTTTAGGATTTTTCTGATTTTAAGAAACTCAGGACATACTTGGTTGTTCTTTAGGACGCAACTTTGGTATTCTTATGTAGACGCTTTAGAATGGTGTCTTATTAGCATCTTTGACTTGCAGGAATGGCCGCTTTCGTCTTCAGTCCTCCCCAAATATTCTTGCTTCACCGGAATTTTTGTCTGAATGTGAAGATGCTTTAAATCAAGGAAGTATGACTGCAGCTGAAGTTTTCATCAACTTGAGAAGTAAAAGTATTTTGCACTTATTTGCATCTATTGGCAGGTTTCTAGGCCTTGAGGTAAGCATTCCCTTTCTTCTCCTTATGAAATTTTTCCAAGAAAAAAAAATCACTGGGTGTTACCTTTTTGGATTGTTGAGGATTATGCATGGATTCGCTTAATGTCCATGAGATAACACATTCTATTTTTGCAGGTATATGAACATGGTTTTCCTGCAGTTAAAGTTCCAAAGAACATTTTGAATGGTTCAACTGAGTTGCTAATGGGGTTTCCTGATTGTGGGAACTCTTATTTCCTGCTGATGCAACTTGATAAGGACTTTAAGCCCCTATTTAAATTGCTTGAGACTCAGCCAGGTCCATCTGGAAAAGCTGATTCTTGTCATGATCTAAACCATGTGATACGGATCAAGAAAATTGATGTTAGCCAGATGCAGATGCATGAGGATGATATGAATTTAAGCTTGCTTGACTGGGGAAAACTACATTCCTTTTGCCCTAGTGCTGGGGGTTCTAATCGGTCTTCTGAAAATGGCCTTCTTTCAGATATCAGCCATGGAGGTTCTATGCCAATTGCAGGTTGTGCACCATCGAGTTTTTCTTCTGTTGTTGACGAAGTATTTGAATTGGAGAAAGGGTTATCTGTACCTTCTTATTCTATTCCGAATGTCTCTTCATTGCTTAACGCATCTCCTGCTTCTCATTTTGGTTCTGGTCCGATGAATCTTCACACCATTAAAGCTGGAAGTGCCTCTCCTAAATGGGAGGGAGGTATGCAGCTATCACAGCTAAATAATTCTGCGAATGTTTCTAGTATGGCCACCCATTATAATGGGTCCTTATATTCATCAAATAATTTGAAGGGCCCCATACAGTCAGCTTCTCTTGGTTCTCTATCTTCTGGCCCAGGAAGGAGTGCCTCCGTGAAGAAAATACCAATTTCAAAGTCTGATCAGGATTTGGCTTCTCTTAGGTCTCCACAGTCAGTTGAGTATGGCTCTTGTACTTCAATGGATGAAGATCAGCTGAGATTTCTGAATGATACTTCAAAGGGTGCACTATATGGGAATAGATCATCCCAAATATTATCTCCAACTCGGTCCACTGGCCCCCGAATCTCTGGGCCAGGTGTGAGACCCAATGGGCCTATAACTGGATCTTTCAGAGTTGTCGGATTAAATTCATGTGCAACAACTCCTGGATGTAAGATGCTTTATCTGTGATGCCTTTATTAAGTGGGATAAATGCATTATACTTATAAATTTAGTACTATTTATACTTTTTACTTAGTCTTACATTGATAGAAAAAAATCTTTTTTTTTTTTTGGTCCTTCCAGCCCTGGCACCAGACTCTGGAGTATGTCATAGTCCTAATCAAGATGTTTCAAATAGAAAACCTCGCAAACGTACACTTTCAGATATGTTGAATTTAATCCCATCACTTCAATGTGCGGAAGCCAATTCAGGATTTTGTAGGAGGAGGAAGATTTCTGAAGTAGCTCGTCCTCAGCAGTCTTCGTCACAGATGCTTATGCCAAGGGATATAATTTCAAAATCCGAAGTATACAGTTATGGGGATCTTATATCTGAAGCTAATAAGGGAAATGCACCTTCGAGCATTTATGTTTCAGCTCTTCTTCATGTGGTCAGGCACTGCTCACTTGGTATTAAGCATGCCAGACTAACTAGCCAGATGGGGGCTCTGGACATCCCTTATGTTGAAGAAGTGGGTCTAAGAAGTATATCTTCCAACATATGGTTCCGACTTCCATTTGCCAGAGGTGATTCGTGGCAACATTTATGCTTGCGACTTGGCAGACCTGGAAGCATATATTGGGATGTCAAAATAAATGACCAACACTTCAGAGATTTGTGGGAGCTTCAGAAAGGAAGCAATGGTACACCTTGGGGTTCTGGTGTTCGAATTGCGAATACATCGGACATAGACTCTCATATTCGTTATGATCCGGAAGGTGTTGTTCTCAGTTATCAGTCTGTGGAGGCTGATAGTATTAAGAAGTTAGTGGCAGACATTCAAAGACTTTCCAATGCAAGAATGTTCGCCCTTGGTATGCGGAAATTGCTTGGAGTAAGAGCAGATGAGAAGCCAGAAGAAAGTAATACACACTCTGATTTTAAAGCACCAGGAGTCAAAGGTTCCTTTGAGGCAGCTGATAGACTATCTGAACAAATGCGAAGGGCATTTAGAATTGAGGCAGTTGGACTTATGAGTCTGTGGTTCAGTTTTGGATCAGGTGTCCTAGCTCGCTTTGTTGTCGAGTGGGAATCAGGCAAAGAAGGTTGTACTATGCATGTATCTCCTGACCAACTTTGGCCGCATACCAAGGTACATTCACATTTTTCTAATTATTTTGTTATTTCTTTTAGCAATTTTAATGATTGATATTTGGTGTAACCTCATGTTTATTAATCTTAAGTTTAGTTTATGTGAAATTGAGTCCTGAATGCGTCCTCTGCACTTGTTCTCTCCAGTTGTTGTGCCTGACCCTGCCATTTTTTATGAAATTAATAGAAGCCCTTTTTCTTAAGATTTCAAAATATAATTTTCAATTTTTTTTTTTCTGGTGTTGCCATGCAAAAGTTCCGAGAAATTGGATTAGAATTTTGCCCAGTGCCTTTCAAAGCTTTTCATAACAGTAGAAAAAGTATAAAAGACTGAAATGCATAATTATATTGAAGTTGCTTTACCAAGGATGACGTCAAATTGTATGACCAAATTCTTTTCAAATTAGATTTTGACAGATGCATTCGGGCAACATAGATTTATTATGTCTTTGGTTTGTATATCATGGGTTTAACTTTATACTTTTCCCCCAATTTGTTTCTGTTTATAAATATTTGCATTCATGAAGATAGCCTTTTCTGTTCTCTACAGTTTCTGGAAGATTTCATAAATGGAGCTGAAGTTGCATCACTTTTGGACTGCATTCGCCTCACTGCTGGTCCCTTACATGCTCTTGCAGCTGCAACACGACCTGCAAGAGCTAGTCCTATTCCAGGGGTCCCTGGAGGAGCAGTTCTCTCTTCCATTACGAAACTGGGGGGGCAGTCACCATCCCAAGGTCTAATGCCAACTAGTTCAACCACAAATGCCAGTCAGTCCCCATCTGGCCCTATGGGTAACCCTGTTTCATCTACTGCTACAGGGCCTCTTGCAAATCATAGCCTCCATGGGGCTGCAGTGTTAGCTGCTGCTGGCCGAGGTGGACCTGGCATTGTACCCAGCTCACTGTTGCCCATTGATGTTTCTGTTGTGCTACGCGGCCCCTACTGGATACGAATTATATATCGGAAGCACTTTGCAGTTGACATGCGCTGTTTTGCAGGAGATCAGGTTTGGTTGCAACCAGCAACACCACCGAAGGGGGGTCCTTCAGTTGGAGGGTCATTACCTTGCCCACAGTTTAGGCCATTTATTATGGAGCATGTGGCTCAAGAATTGAATGGTTTAGATACTAATTTCACTGCTGGTCAACAGACAGGACTGGCAAGTTCAATCAATCAAAACCCAACTTCAGGTTCCCAACTGTCTGCTGTAAATGGAAATAGGGTTAACCTCCCTGGTTCTGCGGCAATGTCTAGGACAGGCAACCAAGTTGCTGTTTTGAACCGTGTTGGAAATGCTTCTCCGGTGTCTTCAAATTTGGCTGTTGTGAGCTCAGGGATGCCTTTACGTAGATCCCCCGGTCCGGGTGTCCCTGCTCATGTGAGAGGTGAATTGAATACAGCCATTATTGGTCTTGGAGATGATGGGGGGTATGGAGGTGGTTGGGTTCCTCTAGTTGCACTTAAAAAGGTGCTAAGAGGTATTCTCAAGTACCTTGGGGTTCTATGGCTATTTGCCCAGCTACCGGATCTTTTGAAAGAGATTTTGGGGTCAATTTTGAAAGACAATGAAGGTGCACTTCTAAATTTAGACCAGGAGCAGCCTGCCTTGCGTTTCTTTGTTGGGTAAGTGCTTTTTAACCCAATCATTATTTGTTTCTTTGATGATGACTTATGCTCATTTTTATCTTATGATGAAAAAGAAAGTCAATATAAAAGATGCCCAAAAAAAAAGAAAAATAAATAAACTTCCAGACGAGATGGAAATGCAAATTGTTTATGTTTATTAAAACCATCCCGATTTTATGTTTACTACCTGTACCAGATTATTTTCAGTTAATTATGTGGCCCTCAGAGAGTTTATCTGATTGCTTGTGTTTCTGCAGTGGGTATGTATTTGCAGTAAGTGTTCACAGAGTTCAACTCCTTCTTCAAGTACTGAGTGTGAAACGATTCCATCATCAGCAGCAGCAACAGCAACAGCAACAGCAGCCAAATTCAACTACTGCTCAAGAGGAATTATCTCCATCTGAAATAGGAGAGATATGTGACTACTTCAGTCGACGCGTTGCGTCAGAGCCTTATGATGCTTCTCGTGTGGCGTCATTCATCACTCTTCTCACCTTACCCATATCAGTTCTACGAGAATTCTTGAAATTAATAGCATGGAAAAAAGGACTCGCCCAGGCGCAAGGGGGAGATGGAGCACCTGCTCAAAAACCCCGTATTGAATTATGCCTTGAAAATCATGCTGGCTCGAGTCTGGATGAGAACTCAGATAATTCATCTGTTGCCAAAAGCAATATCCATTATGATCGGCCTCATAACTCTGTAGATTTTGCACTGACTCTTGTTCTTGATCCTGCTCACATACCTCACATAAATGCTGCTGGTGGTGCAGCATGGTTGCCATACTGTGTCTCAGTGAGGTTGAGATATGCATTTGGTGAAAATCCTAATGTGTCCTTTCTTGGCATGGAAGGAAGCCATGGAGGTCGGGCTTGCTGGTTGCGCATTGATGATTGGGAAAAATGTAAACATAAGGTTGCTCGAATTGTGGAACTTAATGGTAGTTCCGGAGGAGACAGCAGTCAAGGAAGGTTAAGAATTGTTGCTGACTGCGTGCAAAGAACACTACATATGTGGCTTCAAGGGTTGAGGGACGGTGGTGGGGTTAGTGCAAGCTCGGGGGCGACATGATTGATTTGGTCACTCAGAGAAATTTTTTAGTAAAATTTCATTTGAGATTAATCTCAATGAGTTTACGTGGATTGATCATGGCTCATATTCCATTCCATTTTTTCGGATCTCCCAATTAGTTGCAGGAGAAACTTGTATCAGGGAGGAGAGCAAATCTGGCCACAAGATGTGTGTTGAGGTGATGCTTAAATGGTGATTGCAGAGTTGACGAGGAGATGGCTGCCTTTAGGAATGCACTTGCAGAACTAACAGAGAGATCGATGGTGTGAGGGGACCTTTTATATATTTTTATATTTGGATCTTCTGATACTAGGGTGTACAATATTTTGGATATTTTCTGCTAATTTGAAGATAAGGGGTATTGTTGTTGTACAGATCAGGCTTAATTGGATATACTTTGTAAACATTTTGTTTCCGCTGGAGTAGAGCTTAGTTCTCAACTGTCCAAGAAAATGAAACTCTTCACTACTGCTGTGTTCTTTTAGAACTTTTTTTACAGTTACTGTAGTAAATTACACTATACGAATGGGATGATATAATAAAAATGCAGAATCTTAATGCTCCCGCTGAAGGACAATTCTCCAGAAAAGAACATAGAGAATAGGCAGAAGAATATGTACGATTCAACAAATGATAGCACACAAGAATTTGATATTTACATAACTAGAAATATGCAATGCAATCTCTACATCAATATAAAAAATAAGGCTCCCCAAAGTCTAAAATCAACATGGTTCCAGCAACATTGTCAAGAGATCAGCGTCCAACTTCATTTCACTTTTCAGACAGTGCAAAACAAGAAAGATGTCGACCCATCCTGGATGCCGTTTATCTGCAACAACAAAGTCATGGCTAACTGCATCAACAATTACACTACTGCAACCTGCGGTCTTCTTCACTCCCCTGATTTCCATTATTTCTCTAATCTTATCTGAGTAGCTCCACCTCCCACAAGCAGCATACATATTAGACATCAAAATGTATCCTCCCTCTTTCTCAGGCTCTAACTTGAGTAGCTCTGCTGAAGCTATTTCAGCTAGTTCCATGTCTCCATGAGCTCTACAAGCACTCAGCATTGCTCCCCAGATGTTTCGACTTGGCTTCATCGGCATCTTTTCAATCACATCTTTGGCCTCTACCAATCTCCCTGATCGACATAAAAGATCCACTAGACACCCATAGTGCTCAACTCCCGGTTCGATATCAAAAATTTTCTTCATATTGTTGAATATATTTAGCCCTTCATCCACAAGTCCACTATGACTACAAGCTGTAAGAACGGCAACAAGAGTCACCCCATTTGGCAATAAAACTCTCTGCATCTCAGAAAACAGATCCAGAGATTTGTTTCCGTAACCATGGAATCCAAGTCCAGTGATCATTGTCGTCCATATGGTAACATCTTTCTCTGTCAGTCCCCTGAAGACCATGAAGGCTCTTTCAATACTTCCAGCCTTGCAGTACATGTCTATTAATGCTGAACCCAAAAATACATCTATTTTCAACTGCATCCTCACAATCAAGCCATGAATCTGTTTTCCTTGGTCTAGTGCTCCAATTTCTGCTGCAGCAGAGACCAAATTAACCAGAGTGATATTGTCAGGCCTCACATTCACCCCAATCATGTTGTTGAATACCTTCACTGCCATCGTGTAATCACCCTTCTTGGCATAGCCAGCAATTAATGAATTCCAAGAAACAAGATCTCTTCTAGGCATTTGCTTGAAATAAGTGTGGGCAAGTTCTAATTTGCCAACCTTGGCATATCCTGCAGTCATGGTGTTCCATGACACGATATCCTTCTCCACTAAAGCATTAAAGATACTTTGAGCAAGCTCCAGTTTATTCCATTTCACATACATGTCTAAAAGAGCATTACCCAAGATCAAATTTGAAGAAGTGATGGCTTTCCTCCTCTCAATCCATGCATGAACAGACATTCCCAGTCGGGAATCTCCTAATAGTCCACAAGATATAAGAAGTCCTAAAATGGTAAACTCGTCAGGCTTAAGACCCAAACCCACCATTTCATAGAACAGTTGAAGAGCTTCTGAACAATATCCCATCTTGGCATAACCAACAATCATGATATTGAATAAGACTGGATCTGGTGTTGGCACATCACGGAAAACCTGGCAAGCAAGCCCCATTTGTCCTTTTTCCAGATATATCTTGGTGAGGGTGTTCTGCAGGTATCCATGTGACAACAAACCTGTAACAACGGCATGGCTGTGGAGCTGCTTTGCCTCTGATATGCATGTGGACGCTTGGAGTAAGTAAAGAAGGGTGTGTTTATCTGGGCATATACCAGAGTGGAGCATGGAATTGTATAGGGCAAACGGTTGGCTTTTAGAGAAAGATAAAGCAGAAATCATAGAATTATAAATGTAAAGATTGGGATTAGGAGTATAGTGAATGAAAAGAAGGATAGCCATGTCTAAATTATCAGGGTGTGAGATGGCTGAGAATGTGAGAAGCCTGCTCATGGGAAATGTCTGACCAATTAGACAGGTCCTCATCATCTGCCCCAAAATCTGTTTGAAATGGTACCTTGTCCTGCATTTTTCGAGCAATATAAGAGTTGGGTGATTGAGTTTGAGGGCAACAGTTGGATCCCAGTGGATTCTCCCGCTCGTTGAAGTTGAACTCAAGAGGCGGATGCCTCGACAATATTGGTACATGGAGAAAAATACAGCAAATACTCAAATACTCACTGTCTGTGAACAACTATCACACAGTATTTCAGGAATGATATACTTCTGTTTAATATTCAACAGAATCAAACTAAATATCCAATCATAATTTTTTCTTATGGATATTAATTGCTTTCTGTCGATAAGGAAAAACACATACATCTTAAAATGAATAGTTAAAATAAGAAAAATCATTCCTAAACCACATTTAGCTATTACCATGATGATAGCATTAATAAGCACTTTTTCTTGAGAAACCAGATCTTTTCATGAGCCGAATGGCCAGCAATAATGCAGTTTCTAGAGTCATCAAGCCCAAGAAGAATAATTATATCTTAAATCCAACACCACACCCTCACTTATAGGTGTTACATCATTGCTAACCTAGAAAAAGAAAGTCATACTTGTATATGAGTTGGAACATCACCCAGCCAGAAGGGACTGTATGAGTGCAATGGCTGCAAATCTTCTCCAGGCACCAGAATGCTTGTTGCTTGCGTTGGAACTAGTTACCATTCCCATTCCTATGGCCATAATCCTAGCATATTCAAAAACAAACAATCAAATACACATAATCCCTAATCCCCACCACCCACCCCCCAAAACAAAGGAAAAAAAAAATCTTTAGTCAAATTTTCTTATTTTTCCGCTAGTAAATCGTTTCCATCAGTTTTCAGGCTTAAATTTCACCAAGGTTTATGAGATTTTAAACAGTAATTTCTAGTACTAAAAGTTTTATTTTTCTCTAGTTTTCTGGGCAGAAGTTCCATTTCAAGTCCACAACTGACAATCCTACACCTTCCATAACTTCAACGAGCATACAATAACCATAATTTTAAGATACAAAATAAAAAGAATCATAATTTTCTAACTCAAGTGTTCAGAAACTAAAGCAAATCAAAGCTCAAACCCAAGACTCGCAAATACAAAGAATTTGGTCAATTGTAGGGTCACTTACCGATCATGGCTGAAACTTTTGAAACCCTAGACGATTAGCGCTAACTGTTTTGATCAATATCAGAGAGCCCTAAATTTCCTTACGGGTAAATGGGCCAAGGGGTCCAAATATGGTTAAAGCCCAATGTTGTTTTGTTGGGGAAACTCCAACTTTGCCGTCCAATCAATTGTTGGTGTAGGACTAGATTGTGGGATCTTGCCCAACAAATAAAAAAAGAAAAAGAATGTTTTTATTATTTATTTATCTCTCAAGTTTCACCTTTTTGTCTTGTGTTTAGAGTGAACCAAATTGAGCCAACGATGGTTGGTTGAGTTGGTAAGGATCGTTAACTTCACTATTCAGGCTTAAGTTTGAGTCCCGTTGTCAACAATTCTCTTGGTGGATAATCTGTAAAAACTAAAAAAAATGCTAAGACTCACTTTGTAAGTCCTCAAAAAGACCTTGGTATGCCCTAGCGATGATGGAAGGGATAACGTCCTTTCTCCCTAAACTCTTTTTCATAAAAAAATAAAAAAATAAAAAGTGAACCAAATTGAGAGAAAATGCGACCAGCTTTTTGATAGAAGATGTCATTTTCTACTCTTTCCGCCCAATAAACTCTCTCTTCAATACTGATTCAGCAAATTTGAAAAAAATGACTCACCTCACTTTTAAAGAAAATAACACACTCAATTCCGTCAATATTATATATATATATATATATATTTTCTTAGAACCAGCAGCTTTCAACAAAACTTTATAAGACAAACAACCATTATCTACTTTCAACTTGCGTTAAAATTTTCTCAAAATACATCATACACACACCCCTCCATCCCTTTTAAATGGCCCCATATCCCATTATCCACATGAGGAAATTGAAAGAGCTCCCACCACCAACATTTTTGGTCACACTCAACCAACCCCACCATTGATATTACAAGAGGAAAACATCAAATTGGCTTTTGAAAATTCTTCCATAGGCTTCCTATGCCAAATACATCAAGTGCCTCACAATTCTACCTAGGCATGACAATCAGTCCCTTGTTTGACAAAACTCAACGAAAAAGAGTGAACAGTTGCAGCGACTTGATTGTCACTTCTAATGAGTTATAAACTTGACCAGACTACAAAATACCCACTGTCATGACTCTTGAGTAAAATTAGGTTGGGGTCCCAGAAGCGTGCTTGGAGTCGTTGATGGGCATGTGCTGTTGCATATTTTGTTGGAGCCTATGAAGAGGAGTTTGATTCTGGCTTGACCAGTGTCGTTGCGTCCGGTTGATGTGTCCGGAAGATCGCAGGGGCAAGTGATATTGGCATGATGCAGAGTGCCTTGGACTGAAGGAATTGCATGGCAGCTCCTACATCCTCCTCCATCAGCTTAGCTACTTGTTGCTCTGTTCCATCATTAGACCACTTCTCCCATGCTTGTTGATTGGTTCCTCCTTCAATGCCCTCTCCCTTCATTCCGAAAGTATCCAAAGTTGGTGGAATAGTAACAAGAAACAGAAAATAGTCAAAATACTGTTATAGACAGAAAGGGGAAGATTTAGTACATAGACTACTCTCATTTTTATCAGAATGGTTTTTACTAAAGGATTTCGGTAGGTTTTAAATTGTTCATCAAGCTTAATAATGATCTAAAGGAAACCTATCTCTATGATCCTAGCTTACTAATGACTACAATTATGTATATTGTCCTGGCATTATATATGTACATTTTTATAGGTTAAATGCCCGGATGAATATCATATATATAGTAGTTGATACAAATAAAAAATAAGCTACATGCATAATTAAGTTGACCAATCCAAAAAATGCGCAGAGAAAAATTAAGATCAAGTAACAACAGGTTTGGGCTTGACTACCTCGACTGCTGATAGGGGTACATCAGCAACAAGCTGAGCCACTGCACCTGCTCCCCCAAGTCTACTCATGCTCAATACCTGTTTCAGCATAAAGAAAATCAGATCGATTACCAAGAAAATAAATAAATAAACTACAAAAATTGAAGAAAGTTTTGTGTCCTTTGCTATTTGATTATGACTTCATTGAATTCTAGAGGTTCCAACCAGACAAAGTCATTTCAGGTTTGACAAAACAACTACTTCATATAAAGAAAGTCTCAATGCCTTTAATGATGCCAGGGCTATGCATCATGACTGGGACCTACATTGTGGTGAAGACTTTGGAAATTGGAAGACATTGGAATTTGGTACAAGTTTTTGAAACAATGATGAATTCAATAAAGACTTCTAACCATTTGTGCAGAAAAAAGGGTTTTTTTATGAAGAAACATTTGATAAAGCATCCGAAAAAACTAAGAATTGTTTCAAAACTTTTAAGCTTACTTTGAGTAGGAAATGCTAATAAACGATGCAGGAATTACAATAAATCATTTTGAGATCCTGAATCTAAATGAATTTTGGATAAATACCTTCACTTGGAGCCTTAGAAATTTCACATAGTCCACAATTTCGTCAAGCATAGCTGCCCTATCTGTCTGCATAAAGATCACCTAACGTGTCACTACATGTAAATTTTATATTTCAAAGGATAGGCATTTTCCACCATCATAATTGCAGACTACAATATTTGAAATGATGAAACAAAAAAAATGAAATTCATCCTGGAGAAGGTATTAAATCTGCGCTGTAAGGCACTGACCTTGTTACAACTGGGTACCAATTCCTGCAAAGCCTTCATTCTTTCTGCAATTCTTTCCCGGCGTAACTGCACCAAGAAGATATATACATATATACATATAACGTATGTTAGACATATGATTATCTATAGAATAAATAAACAGGTATAGGATATAGGAGTGTGGTATAATATCAAAGTCCTGATAATGGATGCCATGATGAAGTCTAAAGTGTTACCAGAGAAGCAGTTTGGTTATTACAAAACTAGTATAGCCCTCAATGCTAATTAGGGATAGGCATCTACTTTTCTTAAAGAGCATCTATGTTCACTGTAAGAAGAATATATGCATATGAGAACATATCATCCATGTTATGATCCCACATGAGATATCCAGATTCTTTGCTATGAGAAAAGGTTGACTAGCAAATGCGTTTGTATCTACTTTATTATTTCCATATTGCAACCTATACCTCAGAGAAAAAGGAGTAAACCATAGGAAACCACCATCAGAAACCTAGCCTTGAAGTTTTAGCAAGTAATTGTTGCTTACAAATAACAGACTCTACTTTATTAGTCCCCAAATAATTGCACACGCCAAAAGTTCTGATATTTTAATTCAAAATGTATGCAGGAGTGTCATCTTGAATTATCTTACTAGTCAAAGTTAAACAGAAGCAATTTGGATGTCTTCAACGAGAATGAACTTACTGCTAACTTTTTAAAAAAGAGAGAAGATTTTAGCGTTCTCTTAAATACAAAAAATCTAGTTTACCCGCTCAGCAATACTGTGGGGATCTGTTGCTTGGCCACGTCTTGCTCGGACCCTTGGGCGGATGGCAGGAGGGTGATGGACAGCAGCAACTGGCCCTGGTGATGGTTGGCTATGAAACTGCGGCAACAAGATTAACAAATTATGACAATCGATACATTATAAGTGAAGATGAAAATCCAATAGCAAACATGTATTAGGTTTGAACTAAGGCATATACGTAATCATTCGATAATTGGAAGGTTTGAATTAAATACATTACTATGTTGAGGTCAAAGTCAGTACAGATATGTCAAAATTTAGCAGGACAATCAAAAGTTTTTTTGTAATGATGAGCTCTTAATCAGTAAAGATTGATTTCTCATTAAATCATATGTTTGACTAAATTTGAGGAAATTATGGCTGTAAAATAAGGTAAGTGAAAGCACAGCATAAGATACTATATTTCGGCTCTCGATACAATTTTTGAATTTGGATTTCCATCGGATTAATCCTGACAGTCCATGGTGGAACACCATCTCACAAGTCATTTCACATCTTTATCCAATTTTCCATTCAAACTCCATCAAATGCTTTACGATGAAAAGATAAACAACAAAACATTGACGGAACTAAGTTTTGACATCTAGTTGCGTACATTCTTGTCATCAGCCTGTGTACATTCTTGGATGAGGATGACTCTGAATTTTTAGTTGGACAAGTCAAGATGTTTTTAATGTCAAGCAAGAAAAATATTCACTCAATTTTCTTTCTTTTAGGTATTGGTCTAATCACCCAAAATTCCAAATATAAATAAATAAAACACAAGATTAACATTTTCATGCCAAACTGACCAACTCTCAGGCAACTCTTAAAGCCATCAACTGAACCATCAAACAATTAAAAAATTCCAGGAAAAATTGAAAATATATAAAAACAACTTCAAATTCAGGTCCCCAAATTCTGCAGCAAAATCTGCCTAAGTCTGTCTACAAGATTGGCTGAGCAAACATCACGAGAAGTCAAAATGTTGACAAAGTCAAACTGGTAGGAGTCAACCCCATGTGAAGGGGCAGCAGGAGCGCATGTTCCCCACGCGCTCTGGCCACTCCCAGAGGTGCGTGCTCATAATAATTAGCCGTTTATCTTAAACTGACAAAGATTGCAATTAGAAAACGAAACTCGAAAGGACCACAAAGGCCCTCGGACGGCAGACCTCTCCCACACGTTCCAACAACTCACACGTTTATGGTGGCTTCTGTCTGTCGGACACTTCACTTTCTACTACAACAAGTGCCCCCACGCTCCTTAAAGCGCGTGCAGACCACATCCGTTACCTACTAGAGTTCTTAAACAAAGCCCTTGTTTGTTTCTAAAATTATCAACTGTACCCCTCACCCTCCAAGGAGAAAACTTCCGTGAAACCGGGATAACACTATTTTGCTATCCTTATTAATAAGGCTATGACACGCGTTATAACACTTCCACATAACATAGTATTATTGGTCGAGAATAGCAAAACAGTATTATCCCGTTGTGAAGTTTTTCTCCCCTCGTAGACCGGAAAAACTTGTATGAAACAAGAATAGCACACTATCCTCGACCAATCAAACTATACCAAATGAAAAAGTTATCACAAGTGACATTGTGTGATTGGCCAGGGATAGCAAACGTTGAACGCAAGTGTTTCTCCTCTTAGACACACTTTAAAGTTCAAGCAGCGGGATGTCATGTCATGATGATTCTATTTCTACTAATTAAAAGAAAGAAAGAGGTCAATTTCGTCATTATGAAATGTTGAACTTACCTGGTGAGGTTGCGGAGGGGGTGGCGTTGGCCGGAGTGAGTGATTTTGCAAGTGTCCAAACGCTGGAAACAAATTTGTCATATGAACAGAATCTCTTTCCTGCCACACCAAAAACTAAAAACCATGTCAAATTCGCCAAATTAACCTTGCAAAACCCTTCATTTTACAAGCATATCCATACTTGTTCACTGGTTCTCAACTCTCACATCCAGAGAAAAAAAAATGATTGATTCTAAAATTCTCCCAAAAAAAGTACAGAAAATTAAGAGAACAAAAAGAAAGAGATTCTGAGGTTTCAAATTCCAAGGAAAGCTGACTGAAACTGAAGGGGGGCAGTTTTTTCTTCCTCCATATCTAATATTTTCTAGCAGCACAGCAAAGCAAAGGAATTTTTCATGGAAAACTCCACTTGACCAGGAATGGCAAGCAAATCCCATCCATCAAACAAGTAGGAAACTTGAGAATTGACATCCTAATCTTAAAAAAAAGAAAGAAAGAAAGAAAAAAATCAAGATAAAGTGGAGTGCGACTTACATTCATTGCAGAGCTGACAGAAGCAGAAACATTGGAAGTGTTAATATTGTTATTAGTATTGGCTTCAACTTCTTCTCTCAGTTCTCTGAACCTCTCTTGCCCAATAAACCCTCCCTGCTCCAAATTTAACCCCAGAGGCATACCCATCCCCATCCCAACTCCTCTGTACCCTCCACCACCAGAACCACCACCAGCAGCAGCAGCTGAAGAAGACCCACCAGAGCCTAGCTGCAGCACCATGGGCATGGACCCCACATCTCCATACCCACCACCAGCTGAGTCAGCACCACCAGTACTATAAGACGGTGGCACAGCCAAGATCTGCTCAAAGAAATCGTCTCCAAGTCCCTCAGGCGGATTTCCCGCCATATTACTAACACTTGACTGACAAAACTCCACCAACTACCTTTTCTTTTTTCCCTTACTGCAATTGTTCAGAGAGTTGTGCAATTTACAGTAAGAAAAATGAAGACTTTGGTGGACAAGGAATTAAAGCTGGGTTCTTGAGCCCCTGAGAGAGAGAGAGAGAGTGTGTGTGTGTATGTGTGTGTCTTCTCTGTTTATTTTATTTTATGTTTATGGGAAGCATTGGGTTTTGGGAACACTGGGACTGGGAGAGAATTTAAGAAGTGGGTTTTGGGGTAGCAAAGTAAGAGAGAGAGAGAGAGAGGAGGTGTTGGTGAAATGGGTGTCCTCAGACCCGATGACCCGGAAATGGTATTGGGGATTTCAAGAGGGTTGGGTTGAGCTGGTTTTACAGTAGAGTATGGGTTGTGGTTGGAGTTTTTTGGTTTTGAAAGGAAAGAAGGAAGGAAGAAAGAAAGAAAGAAAGAAAGAGAGTGTGAGAGAGAAGAGAAGGAAAGGTGAGAAAGAGAAATAAGTGCTTTCTGAAAACCTTCTCTTTTTGGGTTCTGAATTCCTTTGCTTTTGGGCTCTGAACTCTGACTTGGGTTGGGAAATTTGTTCGTGCGTGACTCTGATTTATGGTTTCAACTTTCAACTTATAGAGAGGCGCACATACACAGAGAAACAGAGAGAGAGAGAGAGAGCAATCAGCAAAATTTGCAGTCTTTTTCTCAAATATGCAATCGTGGTGGGACTACTGGTCTAGCCCTACGCGCTGACAAGACAAGAGGTCTTTATGTTTTAGCTTTCAATTTTTTATGATAACAAGATTTTAACTTAAACTAGATTAATTATGCTAATAGGGTCTAATCAAGTGGAAAATGATATTGACTTGCAAACAAGAGGTCTCATATGACATCTTAGTTCTTAATTGAGTGTGTGTATGAGAAATCCACCTATTCTTTAATTTGGACTATCGCTTGTACTAAAAAAACTCTAATTACTAATAAGGTAAATTGGCACTACATTTTATTTTTTGAAATTTATTTGATTCAATTTATTTATGAGATTCAATTCAATGATCCATAGAGAGAGAAGATGCTTTGTATTTTTGTTATCCGTTTTTGCTTCTTGTTTTTATCTCTCATTCTCTCACCAAAACAAGAAATACTTAATTAGGGTAGGGTTAGGGCGCCTACGGAACGAAACTCTACCTGATTCCCAAAAGGCACTATCTTGCATCAAACCAACAAAAATTAACCCCTCCACAGAAGAAAAAAATAAAAACAAGTACCTAATCACACTAGATTTGTATCATCCAACTTTTTACAACCCGAAAATCAGGTTTAATGTTTTGTACACGTCATTAAGCTTTCCATAATTGGGGTCATCCATCCCACTCAGTCCTTTTTTTATTTCTTTTTTTTATAAAAATTTTAAAAAATGGGCTATGACTCCATGATTATGATTATTTTTAAAATTTCATCTTCTCTAACTCTAACTCACTCCCTGCACGTCTTATGAGGAGAATGGGGGTTTCTTCTTTCCTCGAGTGTGACAGCTTTCATTTTTTCATCCAATCTATAATTTTATTTATTTACTTTTTTAAAATTAAAAAAAGAAAAGAAAAGAAAAGGAAAATAGTGAAATTTAACTGGGTCATAAACTTGGGTTTGATAAATTGATATTAATTAGTAGCCCAAATTGAGATGTTGACAAAAAAAGAAAAGAATAGGGCTGGCTGGCTGAGGGCTCGGGCCTAGCTGACTAGTGAGATTTTCATTGCCCATCCATTGCATCTCTCAAAACTTTAAATTAAGTACACAAAACAAAAGGTTGCTATCTTTCTAGTTTTTAATTCGTTTGCCTTTTCTGGGTCGGTGCTCTTTGTTTAGTTAGTGGAGTTGCTTTCTTATAATTCAAAATAAAAATGATCTTAGCCTTTCATAAGGAACCTAATTTACAAGATTTAAGCCAGAAACTGAGGGAAAAAATGTTAATTAAACCCCAAAATATTACTCTTGTGCAATTTTTATTGTTAATTATGCCTTGTATTGAAATTACTTGAGTATTTCACCACAAAGAAGAAAAAAAGAAAAGAAAAAGAAAAGTAGTGAAGTAGGGCACAAGGACAACAACCCCATACATATCATTAGTGCATCATAACCTGTTATAATTGCATGCTTTTAGATTACTTTTGAAAAATATTGTATGATTGAGCAATCAGGGCAAAAAGCATATGATATAAAATTGTATAAAGCTTAAACAAGGTTGACAAAGATTATGTATTTCTTGTATTAATTTACTTCTATCTCTAATTTGAGCACCTGTTAAAGAGCTTCCAGAAGTTGCAACCAAAGAATATTAATAAAAGAAAAATAGCTTTTAGAAATTATTTATAATATTTAGTGATCTTCAAGGACCACCAATCCATTATCTGCAAAACAATTTAGTGTTAGGGCTGCTGCTTACACTATAAGACACCTTGAACCTGCTTTAGGGAAAGTATCTCTCACTCTCACCTCATTCAGAAGCTCATCTTTCTTATTTTTAAAGCAAAAAGTTTTTCTTTTTTCTTTAACTTTTTTTGGTAATAATTCTTTTCCCCCTCAATGAGCCTGACATGCAACACAATAACACAGTTTAAGAAAGGGAACGCAAAATTTGGATCATTTTTAAGAAACCAATTTGAGTTCAAGTCAAAGTGCAAAGCTTGCATCCTTAACAAAAGAAAGCAGCTTTTGCTGATCTAACTTAGCAAATTCTTAACAGATTATCAATGACAGTGGTAAACATACAGTTCCAGAGGAAAATATTCCACATAATGATCTGTATTAAACCGTAATCTTGTCCTAAACTTACAGCACAACAAAAAATAGAGAACGCGTCGACTGAGGGATCACTGCAACCTTTATGCGTTTTCCTGTGAGCTTGAGACCTTGACTTCTTGTTTTTCTTCTTCACTCACAGCTGTAGGTGTCTCTGTGAGTGCCTCAGGTTCTTTTTTAAGCTCTGTCTCAAACTCCTTTGCTGCCTGCAAGATTTACAGAGGATTGATACAAAATACACTCTTATGAGGAGCATGGAAAGGAAGCCGGCCCAAATGAGATCATTAGACATTAAAAAATCACTGTGTTCAAGATTTCAAGTCATTCCATCATTCACTTATTCACGCACATTGATAGAAAGTAGCAACATTAAAATTAGTGTTTTACCTTCCCCACCCTTTTAATAACATTTTTAAATACAAAATTTAACCTCAGACAAAGTTACATAAAAGGGGAAAAAAAACCTTTACAATGCAAAAAGAAGCTTTATGCTATACTCGGGGCTAGGGTTTAGACCCTTTTTTTTTTTTCTGGGAATACTAGAGGGTGTTGTGTTTGGTGACCATCAATGAATTACATACTGCTAACTGAGTTTAAAGTTGTGCCACATAATCAACTATTTGACGTCTATATGCATCTGTCTGCTCACAATCAATTGATCCCTCTCCTTTTCTCCCAATCCTCACATCACACACCTCAAAATTTGAGTACAGTAAATACAATATTGAAGGTTAGGTAGGTAGATTATATGAACTGGAAAGCACGGAGGCCTAGTCACTAATTGTGAAAGAAGGTGCTTCGCAAGACTGACTTCTCCACCTTTCTTTTTAAGTGAAAATGTTTTTCTGGGAGTTATTTTTTCGTTTTTATAAAAAGGAAATAGTTCAAATAAACGGGAGGAAATGGAAAGACTGAGATGAAAAAGAGTGAATCAAACCAAAATTGTCAAGGTATGTTGCAATGACCATCTCAATTTGATAAAATACTGCATAGGCAATTGCTGGGGCGCATTTTCTTTCACCTCCCCCTGAACCCCTAAATAATACAATCTGACCTGTAAAAGTTTTGTAATTCATGTTGCTCCCTCCGAAGAAACAATCCTACAGCTACCAGTGGCCATTTGTCACTCTGTCCCGTATTGAAGAAAACTAAAGAAATTTGTAGTATATAGATCAATAGAACAAGATTCACAAAATATTCTCTGAAGATGCACTATGTTTGGTAAAAAGGAGGGTTAGATACAATAGGAAAAATGGGATTAGTAATCTATTACTTATTTTTTGATAAGTGGAAAAAGGGGAGGATGAAGAGGAGTGTGTTTTCCCTCCTTAATCTTGGTATGAATAAAGAAAGGAAAGGAGTACCACTGCTCAGGTTTGATATTGCATATATTAGAAGGGAAGTGCTAGAATCTTCTTGTAAAATTATCATTTTATTTGTTCCCATTCCTAAATCCTTTGTACCAAACGTAGTGTTATGGTGTATCCAGGGCTGGGAGGGTGTATAAATAATGACATCCCTTTATTTTTGCAGTTATACTAACCTTTGTTATAATATTGAATAGTGGAGAAGCTTCTAGTTTCTGTGTCATCTTCTTCCTAGTTCTCTTTTGTCTCTTATATTGAGTGTAACGGACTCGGAAAGATTTATTACATAGACCAATATTGTCTATATTAGTGTCATTATCATTTTGAACACCATATTATAACTTTAAAATTTCTACCCCAATACCGGAACTTCTAATGAAAGCTAACTTAGACGAGAACTATATGTCCTGCATTAAAGGATACTGTAAAATCTACTATAACTGAGAAATTTCTGTAGTTTCTTTCTACAATATAGGAGGTGCAGATTGTAGCGATACAATTTGCTTTAGACCCCGGGGGAGGTGGTGTAATTTAACCAAAATAGAAGAAGCACAGGAATAATATAAGGGGGCAAAATCCATCTAAAAGAAGAACCGCAAGAACGAATGCATAAAAATTGCTTTTAATACTTAGTCTTCTTACACATTTGAGTCTTTTCTACAATCAATTAGAGTCTAGTACAAGCACGTGCCTTTATTTTTCTTCCTAATATTTCATTTGACTTTCCATTTCTACAATCAACATAGTCAAAACCTAGGTACCCAATTTTATTTTCCCCACTTTTCCCAGGAACTATAGTAGCAGCAGCAATTTCAAAATTTGCATAAGTTTTCTTCAGAGCAGAACCCGTATTTAGCTGAGTGCAACTGAAAGTTCTTTATTTTCTTCCAATTTTCATACACACAAACAACAATAACAACAAAAAGAATCAAATTGGCAAAAATTTCATCCATTCTCTAAAGAACGAAACAGATCCAGATAAAAGAAACCAACCTGTTGGAAGCTCTTGACAGTCTTCCCAATACTCTTGCCCACTTCAGGTAACTTCTTGGGTCCAAAAACCAAGGCTGCCACCCCAGCTATAACAACAAGCTCCGGCATCCCAAGACCAAACAAAGCGTTACAAGTGAGACCCTTCTTGGCTCTTTCAGTTCTTGTTCTGGTTCTGGTCCTGCCCAGAACCAAAGCACCGCTATTGACCTTGTTTTTGTTGGGGAATAAAAAGGTAGTGGCATTGTTGGTCAAGAAGGTGGATTGGGATGATGAGAAAGGGAGCGAAGGTGGGGATCTTGGAGTGGACAGAGTAAAAGATGAGATCTCCATGATTGTTTTGAATTTTTATTTACTAGTTTTTCTAATTTTTAGTTTATGGGTTTTTGAAGGTTTTGGAGTTCTCGGTTGAATTTTGTGTAGGCTGCGGAAGATTAGATAACAAGAAGGGGAAGGTGGCTCCAGCCAAGAAAAAGAAAA